TTTCTGAAGTTTAAAAAGGAGGCCCAGACGGCCATGTTAAAAGAACGAACATCAGGTTTTCAGGTGTGAATCACGGAGCCTAAGATTCCAGGTAACCCAATGTTACCCAGCCGGGGGGGGGGGCTTCTCAGCCAGAAGGGGGCCCTTTTCCTTGGGGTGGGTGGGTGAGGGATTTGCCTCCACTTATCTTGTCCTGGTTTTGCAAAAGTGTAAATGGGTGCCACTATTTTGACCTCTGGGTGATTCCCCCCCCGGCCCCCCAAGGGCGGATCTGTTGCCTGGGCCTCACTTTTGTGCCGATGCGCCCACATCTTGTCCTCCCCTGCATTCCCTCATTTAACCCTGGGATCCTGCAATCATTACCCACTTTATTTAGACAGAGGGGAAGGTTAATAGCTAATCATCCCCAGAGATTAAGAGGTATCTATTAATAAGGCACTTTTAACGTTTCCTCTCCCTTAAAACCATGTCAAGTACCACAAAACACAAAAAGCTGAGAATCTCTCTCTCTCTCTCTCTTGATTTCTCCAGTTGTTTTGTAGAATATTGATATATTCCCATTGTTATCGATCTATTTTCATGGTGTTCCCTTTTCGTTGATTATTGTGTAGGTTATAATATTTTACTTTTGTTTGCACTCCTTTCATTTTCTCCCTTTTTATTACGGTAAGCTGTCTAGAGTAGCCCCATGGTAGGAAGACAGCAAATAAATTTGACAAATAAATTTTAAAAATGAAATTTTCTTCTCTGAGAAATGGAGAGCCTCTCTGGACATCTTCTTCCTTTCTGTTGCTGTTCGAATTTCATCATTTTCTCCTCTCCTCTTGTCTAGACTAGAGATGGCCTAGGAGTGATATCAAAGGCGGGTATTCAGCCGGTTCTGACCAGTTCTGGAGAACCGGTAGCGGAAATTTTGAGTTGTTCAGAGAACCGGCCAATCCCACCTCTGACTGGCCCCGCCAACCCCATCTCTTCTCTGCCTCCCAGTTGGTTGCCCTGCACAGGAGAACGGAGCTGGAAAGCAGGTCAGTGGGGTGGGGAGGGAAGGGGGATTTTGCAGTATGTCCTTCCCCTGCCACGCCCACCAAGCCACGCCCACAGAACCGGTAGTAAAAGAATTTGAATCCCACCACTGATTATGATAGCAGCGTTCCAATATCTGAGGGGCCGCCACAGAGAGAAGGAGGGGGTCAAGCTATTCTCCAAAATACCTGAGGGCAGGACAAGAAGCAATGGATGAAAACTAACCAAGGAGAGGAGGAACCTGGAATGAAGGAGGAATTTCCTGACAGTGATTAAAATCAACCAGTGGAGCAGCTTGCCTTCAGAAGTTGTAGGTGCTTCCTCCGTTGAGGTTTTTAAGAAAACACTGGACAACCAACTGTCTGAGATGATACAAGGTCTCTTGCTTGAGCAGGCGGGGTTGGACTAGAAGACCTCTAAGGTCCCTTCCAACTCTGTTATTCTGTATTTTACTCCTCCTGCTCTGCAATCCTTTGCGTCTTTCTTCCCTTCTCTGTTCCTGCTTTCCTTGTAGTCCTCGTAGGTAAGAAAATGAGGCGGGGCCCTCCAATACTTTGTGATTAATTCTTGTCCCCAGCTTCTTGGGGTGAAAAGTCCAGAGTACACCACCTGCAGGGCTTTCATACCATGCCAAGGAATCCACTTGTTCCCAAACGGCCTGGACATTGTTGTCAAATAACAGCAACCCAGGCGCTGACACACCACTTAGAACAGACAGAGAAGAAACACATTTCAAAGAGAATGTCAATATTGTTTTAAAAAGCTACACACTGAAAGTAGGCAATACTCCCTGGTTTCCGTTCTCCCCTTCTGCCACCTGTGTGTAGGGCACTTTCTTTACCTCCTCTCTCCAGAATCACTCCTCTACTTGGAAGGGGCACTGGACCTTCCTGCTGCTGCCTTCCAGATGTGCTAAATTTGCAGGACAAACCTAAAACATCTGGTCATCAAGCCACCCGGAAAAGCTGCCAAGGGCGCCCACTCACAGTGGGAGAGGCTGGACTTCCAAGCCTTGCTAACATGGCATATGCATTTTCTTTTTAATCAACCCTTTCTTCAAAAGAGACTCCTTGAATATTGGTTTTTAAGCCCTGAAAGGTAACTGATTGTGGAGAAAATCGGGGAAGGCTGTTGCGTAGAATCAGGGGTCTCCAACCTTGGGAACTTGAAGACTTGGGGACTTCCACTTCCAGAATTCCTCAACAAGTTGTGCTGACTGAGGGATTCTGGGAGCTGAAGTCCCCAAGTCTTCAAGTTCCCAAGGTTGGAGACCCTTGGAGTAGATGGAAGAGAAAGAGAAGGAAGTTGGTGCTCTTTTGTGCGGGAGGTAGAGACCCCAGACCGGACTTCCTGAAGCAGAGATGGAAAACACTGGAAGGGACCGTAGAGTCTTGGGGACGGAGCCCTCTCGTCAAGGGGGCAAGTCTCAGCTCCATGGAGGCCCCCTCCTTCTCCTGCCCTCAGAGCAATGGCCTCCAACTCAGCCTAGCCTTCTGGAAGGGCCAATTGCTTCCTGGTGGGCCCCCTCCTAGGATGGCCACACATTCCAGACAATGGGCCTTCTCCTTGGCCAGGCCAAAACTGGTGGGGAGACGCCACCACACCCCCATAGTCACTGGAGCAGCCCTCCCCATGCGGGTTTGAGCGCAGCAGTTATGCTGGTTGCTCGTGGTGTGGCCAGTTGGCGTGAAAGACCTGGTCTGGCTCGAGCCTGTAATAATGCAAGCGGTGGGTTGGCGGGTGTGCGTGCGTGCAGAAAAGTTACCTGCAGAGATTTGTTTTTAGAAGGTCAAACTCCAGCTTTTTCAAAGTTAGGCTCCAGCAAACAGTTGAAAAGTTGTCAGTCCTTATCCCAATTAAGGTTAATGACTTGCTTTCTGGCAAAGGTTCATTGATTTTTAACAGTTGCAAGAAGCAGCCAAAAGACATTCCTTGTTTCTCTCTCTCTCTCCCTCCCTCCCTTCGTGTGTGTGTGTGTGTGTGTGTGTGTGTGTGTGTGTGTGTGTGTGTGTGTGAGAGAGAGAGAGAGAGAGAGAGAGAGAGAGAGACTTTCTTGATGCTTTGCCGCTTCCAAACCCAAAAAGGTTTTATCGAGAGAAGAAAAAAATTGTGAGCCAAAACAGTTGAACCCTTATGGTACCTGCAGTCCAGACAATGGCAAAATGCTTTCCTCCAGAAGTTACGGGTGCTCTATCCCTGGAGGTTTTTAAGAAGAAATCGGGCAGCCAGTTGTCTGAAACAGTAGAGGGTCCCTGGCTTGAGCACAGGCTAGAAGACCTCTAAGGTCCCTTCCAACTCTGTTCTTCTGTCTGCTTTACTAGGTGAAATGAAAGGAGACTCCTAAGAGGGGCATCGTTCCCGCAAGCCCCCAGTTCCCAGGGCTGCCCCCCTGTGGCTTTTCTCTCAGGTTTGGTTTAGGATTGCGGGACAAGAGAGGATGCATTTTTCTCCTTTGCTACTCGTAGTTTAATCCTTGCTGTTTGCCAAGGTATTTCTTGTTTAACCACCAGATTAAGTGTACCCTTTCCAAGGTAAGCAAACTGGCAAGAATGCGGCTAACCTCCATTTACACATTGCTCACAGGCAGGGAAAACGTTGCTCCAAAACAAGAGGAATTGAGAGACATGGAACCTGCCGGTGTGACCACTTTCAGGTCTGTTCAAGGCTCTTCTTTGGCAGTGAGGGATTCTGACAGGGTTGCTGTTCTGTTTCCAATTCTTCTGCTTCTTTGCTAACTGACCTAAGTGAGATGGAGGGCAGATTCACTGAGGGGCATTAGGAGCTTTGACGGCGCACCGTTTGCACACATTTAATTTGGTGTCAGAGCATAGTTTTTAATGCCCTGGATGAGAAAACCACTCCTGTGAGCTTGGGTATCTCCCACAAAAACATCAGCATCCAATGGTGAACCTCTAAACCAGAGGTCTCCAAACTTGGCAACTTTAAGGCTTGTGGACTTCAACTCCCAGAATTCTCCAGCCAGCTGGCTGTTGAATTCTGGGAATTGAAGTCCACAAGCCTTAAAGTTGCCAAACTTGAGGACCCCTGGTTTAACTACTCGATGCATCTATTGAAGAGAGCAGCAACTCACTGAAGCTTCTGCCTTTGTAAACGACATTTGTGAATTGGAATTCTGGGAGTTGCAGTCCACAAGTCTTAAAGTTGCCAAGTTTGGGGACCCCTGCTCTAAACAGCTGACTTGATGGGGTGGCTGTCTTCTCAGCTGGTCTCCGTTAGGAATTGCTTTAACGTTCTGTTGGAATCATTTTGCGCAGGGGTGTCCAACCTTGGCCACTTGAGGACTTCCTGGCTAGCTGGAGAATTCTGGGAGCGGAAGCCGACAAATGTTAAAATGGCCAAGGTTGGACACTCATGGATTAGAGGGAGCTGCCCACCTAAGAACAAAACCTGCACACATTGGTCCTCCTAGCAACCCATCCTCCCCCTTGTACAACCCAGAGTTGCCCTCTATTCAAGCACGTGTGTCCCAGAATCCCTTCCGAATGCCTCAAAGATTTCTGGGCACAAGTTTTGGGTTGTGAGAAATGCATTCTCCATTCAAACCAGTTTTGACCATAGCATTGGGTAGCCCTTGTGCTACACTCCCACTTTCTGGCGTTCATTGATCAACCAGCCCGTGGTAAAATGGTGCCCTTTGGTTCATTTCATATTATGGGCTCAGAATCTGGCGTAGCTGTGGTTGGAAGTCCCTTCTTTGACTCCTGAAGGGCCCCGTGCCTCTTCTGGTCTCCAAGTTGGCAAAGAGATGAGTCACCCTGGTAGGAATGCCAGGCCTGCGTTCTTGGGGAGTTCCCAGCTCCATGTGTCGGGATGCCAAGTGATCTGGAGTTCTTGCGTGTTAGGAACTGAACTGGCCGGGCAGCTCCAGAACAAAGAGCAGCCCAGCCCCTCCTTCTTCAGCACCTCCTGCCAAGTCACCTGCTGCAGGACTACAAAAACCCAGCACAGGTACTGCTGCAGGGCATGTGCAGTTGGGCTTCCCTCTGCGGCATCTCCGAAGAGAAGCTGCCTCTCCACCGGAGCACCTGTTGGGACTTAAGCATCATCCCTGGATAAGGAACAGGATCGCCAAGTTACATATTACTCAGCAGGAAAGGGGGAAAATTTATCATTAACTGGGCTACTCAGCCAGGAGGTATAAGAAGAAACGGATCAGCCCAGACCGGGAGGCCCTGAAACTGGCAGGATGGCCACCCCGGCGGCTACCACGGTGCTGGCCCAACAGGAGTCGACCTCGCCTCACATCGCAATCGCAAATGCAGCCGACATCTCGGTGATTGTCATCTACTTCCTCGTTGTCCTAGTGGTTGGCCTGTGGGTGAGTGCCAGCTTTCTTTGTCCTTGTTGGTGGGGTGCAAATAAGAAAGTGGAAGGAGCTTTTCTGGAAGATTTGGGTCCAGGAACCAAATCCAGGAATTGGGCCTGGCTAAGTCTCGGGAAGAGAAGGACCAGGGGAGACACGATAGCAGTCTTCCAATACTTGAGGGGCTGCCCCAGAGAGGAGGAGGAAGGGGCCAAGCTATTCTCACCTGAAGGCCAGACAAGGAATAATAATGGATGGAAACTGAACAAGGAGAGATTCAACCTGGAAATAAGGAGAAACTTTCTGACAGGGAGAACAATCAACCCGTGGAACAGAAGTTGCCTTCGGAAGTTGTGGGAGCTTCATCCCTGGAGGCTTTCAAGAAGAGACTGGATTTGTCAGAAGTGGTGTAGGGCCTCCTGCTTGGGTGGGGGGTTGGACTAGATGATCTACAAGGCCCCCTCCAACTCTGTTAATCTGTAATCTGTAAACCTAGGGAGATCCGGGAAGGACCAAGGGTCCGGCATATCAGGATGGCTGAGCAAGAGATGGGGAGGGGCCAGAGGGAGGGAGGGGATGGGTGTTGCTGGGCAGCTGAACTGGCAAGGGGTGGGTGTTGGGGTCACGGAAGAGAGGAAGCTGACATCGGAATGGAAAAAGCTTCCCAATGCCCGGCTCCGGAGGTTGTGTGTGTGTGTGTGTGTGTGTGTGTGTGTGTGTGTGTGTGTGTGCTGGGGGAGGGCGGGATAGTTCCCATCTTTTCCACTGCTTCCTCCCCCTTTGGATAGAAAATTCCCACCTGGCTGGGAAGTTCCAAAGCCCATCAGGCACTTTTCCCATCTGAGAAGGAATGTGATGGGCTGTGAGAACAACCTTGGCAGGCAGGAGGAGGAGGAGCTGCAGGCAAGCAACGGAATCTGAGCACAGACCAGAAACGGAGAACGTGTCTCAGGAGGGGCAGCCGTCATTAGGCGATGTGGTTATAAGGTGCGACATCGCATGGCCACACCACTGAGTGGTGGCACTTCTAGTGAATCCATGCCATTGTCGAGCATGGGATTTGTACTCCTTTGCCATGGACATCTCCCTCTCTGGCTTCCAGGCCTCACTGTTAGTCTCACTTGTGGGAAACCGGCAGAGAGAATCACAAATGACCGTCACATGAGTGTGGAGATGCTGAGGACGGTTGTAAGAAGACCAGGTGTAAGGGCCATTCATTCAGCGTCATCGTAAGATTGGACAGGCGCTGAATGAGCGGTCATTAAGCAAAGTCTGCATGTAAAGGCCGGGCGTTTGCAGACTTTCACGCTTCTGTTAGTGTAAGTTTACCCTAAAGGTAGTGTTTGCATTGTTGGTTGTGAGGTCCTGTCTGGACCACCTGGAAGGGTTGACAAGAAGCCCCCTTGGCAAGCAGTGTGTGTCAGCTGGGCCAACCGCCTTAGAATGGACAGGAGGTCCAAGGAGCCACACATTGTCCCAGAAAATGGACCCGGGTGGCCAGGGTCTGCGTTGCTGCAGCCCCTCTAGCACTGAGCAATGCTATCAGCAGTGAAGAATTGCAGGAAGTGAAGACAAGGGGGCTTTCAACCCTTCAGCAGAGGGGCACCGACATTCTGCACATGCCTAGTGGAGCTCTCCTCTGTCTGCTCAGGTTCCCATGGGGGCTCTTGGTTTAAAGAAGGCTGAGAATTCCAGTCTGTTCCATCTTGTCCCAAGGCAAACCTCATCCACGTAGCCCTTTGCCAAAGTCCAGCTGCCAAACTCCGGGGAGGAGCTGGCTAGGGAATCCTGGGAGTTGGAGTCCTCACACCTTAAAGTTGCCAAGGTGGGGAGATGCTCGTGTGGGCGATGCCTCCTGGGCTCTCCAGGCCCCCCACCCAGGCAGGTTGCCAGGGCCTCCAGGCAGCCTTGGGTAGCACAGCAAAGTGTCGCGCTGGGGAGGCCTTCTGGCCCTCAAAGGCTCCATTGCTTCATGGTCTCCTCCAGGCTGTCCACTTGTGTGGAAGCCCAGCTCACCACAGAGAAGGCCAGGGAGAGGCCAGAGGGGCAGCCTGGCCCTTGCTTGGATGGCCGGGGCAGCGAAGGAGGTCTTGGAGCAGGCAAGGAGGAAGAGCGGGTTCTTTTGCCATGAGATAGAGCCAATCTCCCAGCTAGGAAAGCAGCCCCAGGGGCCCCTGAGGGAAGAAGGGATCAAGGCCTTTCCAAAGCACCGGAGCAGCTTCTCAAGACAGGCACCTGGTTCTGGCCAAACAAGCCCCTGGACCTGGCAGGGGGGGCTGGGCAGCCTCTTGCACTGAATTGGGTCTGCACCTCTAAAGGTGAGGACCCAATTCCTTTCCTCTTCTTTGCAAGGGCTTTGGGCCTCTCTCAGACACCAGGAGGGCTGGGTGCAGCCTTGCTCCCTTCAAACAAACCAGGAACTCCCTGGTTCCGAACCAGGAAGCTAAACCTCCCCCTGCCCAAGGCTGGGTGTCCCTGAGTTTTGTGAGTGCAGACCCCTGCCACCTCCCAGAAACTGCCAGCCTGCCTTCTCTCTGGGGCAGCGGAGGCTAAACTGGGCTGCTCCTGCACTTGAAAACCAGGGGAAACTAACTTGAACTAACTAAAGGGATCAGATGCGCCCCTTGACTCACGACTCAAGTTGCAAAGAAGGAGGCATTTCCCGCCCTGTCTCAAGAAAAGGCCTGGGCATCACGTGCCCAAGAGCTTGCCAAGGGGACAGAACTACTCATCCCGGCCAACTGCTCCTTGGCACCCTCCCAGAGACACTCTGGAGTGGGGCAAGCAAGCCAGCCAGCAAGGCTTCCTGGGCCATCTGAAGGCCTGATGTGGGGACTGGCCTTCTCTCCCCTTCCCCGGGGGTGGTCAGCCAGCCAGGGTGGCTCATCCCTGCTATAGAGGGCAGGGCCAGAGCAAAGGAGGGGGCCGAGACAGGGGAGGTGCTGGGCTGATCTCAGAGGCGTCATCCCTGCCCCTGCCGGACTCAGGGAGAAGCTCCTGGGCCGTCCTGAGGAAGGAAGGGCCGAGTTGGGGGTGCAAATGGGGTCACACTTTCTCTGTCCTTGAGGCTCTGTCCTTGCAGGGGACTCTCTGTACTGGCTGGAGCAGCTGACTCTTGGTCTAAGCCAGGGATCCTCAGCCTGGGCAGCTTTCAGGTGGGCAGACTTCGTGCCTGGCTGGAGAATTCGGGGAGCTGATGTCCACCCTTTGGAAAGTTGCCAAGGCTGAGAAACCCCGGCCTGAGCTGCGCTTCCACACTGGACATGCACTCAAGACAAACCATCATCGGAATGAAACCCTCTTTGGCAAGTTGGCCGCAGAGCAAAACCGGGGGGTTTTTTTTGGGTGGTCACTCCTGTCTCTTTTCAGGTGGTAAAAAAAAAATCTCGCTTTTGGGGGGAGATTCAAAACTCAGCCCTTGGTGAAGATCAGTGCAGGCCTTCAGAAAGGGGGAGGGACATCTCTGCTCCAGCTGCCCCTCCCCCCCCACCGCCCGGCTGTTTTCTGCAATTGGGGTCAATCAATGGCCAGGAAATGTTTGTCTGCCTAAGGTCTCCTGGTTGAAATATGCGCAGGAGACTTTAACCAAGAAAGCTCTTTTTGCACGGAACGCTCTGAGGCAGGGCGGGGGGTGGCAACGGCTGCTTTGGCAGTCACTTTTCCTGGATCCCTTAAGAGCAGCCTTTGGTCAAAAAGGCCTGGTCTTAAACACAGAGCCTGGGAGGGAAGGAAGGAAGGAAAGGAAGGAAGGAAGGGGGGAAGGAAGGAAGGAAGGAGGGAAGGAAAGAAGGAAGAACGGATGGCAGGCAGGCTGGAGGAAAGGGAAGGATGGAAGGATGGCAGGCAAGGAAGGGAAGGGAAGGGAAGGAAGGAAGGAAGGAAGGAAGGAAGGAAGGAAGGAAGGAAGGACGGCTGGGTGCCTTCACAATGGCCCAGAGGGTGGCAGCGCCGGAGAATTTCAGGCCAGGAGCCCCCCCTCCACAAGGGCCAGGCAGCTGCTCGTTGCCAGAGGCTAGCAGGTGGCTTTGGAGTCCTCAGTTACCTGAGATAGGTGGACTGGCCACCTGTTGGCATAAATCTCTGCTGAGGAAATTCCATCCGGGCAGCCGTTTCAGTCGGTTGCAGCAAAGACAATAAAATCGTCCCCGGTCCGATGATAAATCGTGGCTCTTCCGCTCTTTTGCAATGAGCCCTGGACGCCTCGCCCGGTGGAACCGCCACTGGCCATTTGTAACCGCCGCAGTTGCCCTCCGTCTCTCTGCGCAATTAGCGCAACGGGTGGGTGGCAAATCATCTGAGGGAGCCCGCAAAAGGCGAGGGACCAAAAGGCGCCGGTTTTTGCCTCACTGCTTACTCCGAGGCTTCTTGAAGCCCCAAGGATCCAAAGGCAGGCCCTGAAAAAGCTCCCTTGATCCCCTGAGGAATTTGGACGGTGCCCAGGAGGACCACGGAGCAGGGAAACGCTTGGAAAGCAGGTGATCTACTGTCCCTTTCCTTATCGGTGCTGATCTCGTGGGTGAAGCCTCACGGCCCGATACTGCAGGCTGGGAAGCCCGTTTGGATGTCTGGGAGAGGAGGTGCGCGCACCGCTTGGAGGAGGTGATGTTCATTAGGAAGAAAGACACAGAAAATGCGGGTCGCCTGCAAATCCAGTGCAAATCCGACAGGAGAAACGGAAGGGGGAACTGTAATATCCACAGGAATGGTGCCCGTTGCCAGGAAACAATAATAAATACACTCTTGAATGCCCTTTTAAGTGGCGTATAGCATTACATTGATTTAAACATGTTTACATATAAGAAGAAAAGACATTCAGACGTGAATCATATCGTAAATGGATCGATGCAGCCAACACCCACATAAGCAGGTATTCACACCAAACAATCAAGCATCAAACAGTAGCCTAACCAAGGAAGTACCAAGGGGAAATCCACTCCCCCCCCAACCAATTCTGAGAGGACAAAGTGCTCTCTATTAACAGGGAGCAAACTTCACTCACACTGATGATGTTGCCTAGTTGGGTAAGGAAACGTCTGCAAGCTAAAAACTCAGCTCAAGAACACCAAATGCCTAAATGACTTTCCTTGGGGAAGCAACTGGAATCTTTCTTTTGTTTTATCTATAGCAGGGGTCTCCAAGCTTGGCAACTTTAAGCCTGGAGGACTTCAACTCCCAGAATTCTTTGCTGGCTGGGGAATTCTGGGAGTTGAAGTCCTCCAGGCTTAAAGTTGCCAAGCTTGGAGACCCCTTATCTATAGGACACGTCATGATAAATTATTTTCCTGATTTTTTTTTCCTCTTCCAGATGTCAAATGCCAAAGAGGTTATTAGACCAATTTGTGCGTATGTGTGTGTGTTTGTGTTTGCATGCACCTGCGCCTTGAAGTCAGTCCCGGCTGAGTCTCTTCTTGGCAGGACTTTGGGTGGGGGATTGGCTCTGTCTCCTTCTTCCTGGGCTGAGAGAGTCTTCGTGCCCAAGGTGGGATGAGTCTCAGCGCTCCTGGTCCAGCACAAACTGGTCCACAGACTGATTTTTTTGTTGTCTTCTTCCTCACCCCAAAGCAGTGTGTGTGTGCGCATGTGTGCAAGAGAGAGATAGAGGGAGGGAAGCTCCATTTCTTCATCCCGTGGACCTCGCCGACACCTGTGGGATTCCCCACCCAGAAGCTGCCCAAGGCGACTCACCCGGCGTGGCTGGTGGAAACCAGCTCCAACTGGGACGGAGCCGCGCGGGAGACAAACTATCTCTCCCCTCCAGTTGAAGGCAATTCTCCTGTGACCCATTTCCCTGTTTTCCTTGCCTTCAGGCCATGTACTCGACCAACCGTGGAACCGTCGGAGGATTCTTCTTGGCCGGCCGGAGCATGGTGTGGTGGCCGGTGAGTTTCGCCCAGGGAGTCCTTTCTTCCCACTGGTGTCCCTCTCTGGAAAGGTGGCCAAGTCGCTTTGCACCGTCCTACACTGGTGGGGAAACGGACGGGTGTTCTCCTTTGGTTTCGTGGTGAGAGAGGAGCCCAGTAGCCCGTTTTCCACCCCGTTCTCCTGATGGTGCCCTCATTCATGGTCCTCAGAGGTTCACTTTTTCCTCTCCTTCGGATGCAACTCTTCCCCTGGATGCTCCCAACTGTCCCCTCGTTGCTGGGTCAGGAGTGGATCTGTCCACTCCTCCTGGCCAACTGGTCTGTGATGTGAGCCACATCCCCTCTGTCAGGCATTGCTATCCATGGGCCTTTTGCTTGGGCTGCAGGCTGCACACTGGACCCCGGACCTCCTTTAGCACCTGCCAAGTCTTAGGTGGCTCCTTCTAAGGCGGCTTCTGGGCTCTTTCACACGACCATTCAGTCTGCCCAGAAGGCCAGGCCTTTGGACTAGCCAATACTGGCTGCATTGCAGGTTCTCTCCTGCTTTCCAACCCCCCCACCCCACCCCACCCCACCCGGTGCAGCCTTGAGAGATGGGTCCCTGCCTCTCCTGGCCTGGAGCAGGGAGGAGACTGGGGACTGACAGCAAAGACACAGCTCAGCTGCTTCCGGCTCCTTCTTAGCCAAGAAGCTGGTAGGTAAAGGCTGGTATTTTGTTCAGTGGCCACACAAAAGAGGCCTCCGAGCAGCCAGCTCAGCCCCTTGCACAGATATGTCAACCCCCTCTTCTCTGTGACAGCCCCCTCCAGTCCTGGAAGGCAGTTACAAATACAGATCATCAGAGTTGGAAGGGACCGTTCAGGTCATCTAGTCCAACCCCCCACCTTGTCATGCCCCCCAGTCCTTCCCTTGGTTAGGCTAGATATTCTCAGTTCCGGCCACTGTTCTCCGCACCTTTCGGCCTCCAGTGCCCTAATCCCCTTGGTTGCCCTTCTCTTGATTGCACGCTTTCCAGAGTCTCCGTATCTTTTATTCTGTATCGTGATTCCAAGCGGTGTGAACACTTCACGAGATCTTGATTCTATCCCTCTGTTGGTGCAGCCGAGAACTGTGTTGGCCCTTCTGGCGGCTGCCGCACACAGCCAGCTCTTGCTTACTAGGAGTCACCCATATTTTGAGCAACATTTCTGCCTAGCCTGTCAGCTCTGAGATCAGCTGCTACAAGGATGTGAACAATGAAAGGGGGGCTGAGGTCAAGGTTATTTAGTATGTCAGCATTAAAAAATTCCTGCTGCAGTTAATTGGTTCTCGGGATTTATGAAGTATAGTAAGTGGGAAGAGAGAGGGCGGAATTTGTGACAGCGCTGGGAATGAGTTTCAGTTTTGGAAATTCCCATAGACATACCAGAGCTGTCCCTAATAAATCAATCAGAGATTATACTTGTCTCGGAGTGATTGTTTACTATGGATAATTTCTGGATGCCTAACACAGCCGTTCCTGAAAACTCCGTGAGGTTTACAAATATTCCTTGACTTACAACCACAACTGGGCCCCAAATGTCTGTGGTTAAACAAGACAGTTGTCGGTTTTGCCCCATTTTACAATTGTTCTTGCCACGGTTGTTAAATTAGTAATATGGCTATGAAGTGGCTTTCCCCATTGGCCTTCCTTGTCAGAAGCTCCCAAAAGGTGAACTCAATGACCCCAAGGGCTCTGCAACCATCATAAATATGACTCAGTTGCCGACTGTCCGAATTTTGGACCATGCGACCATGGGGAGGCTGCCGTGGTTGTAAGTGTGAAAAATGGTCAAAAGTCACATTTTTCGGTGCCATTGTTGTAAATAATGTTGTACGTCGAGGACTGCCTGAACTTCTGGCTGAAGTTTTGTTGGCTGGAAGCAGAGGGGGGATTCAGCTGGTTCTGGCCAGTTCTGGAGAACCAGTAGCGGAAATTTTGAGTAGTTTGGGGAACCAGCAAATCCCCCCTTTGACTGGCCCCGCCAACCCCATCTCTTCTCGCCTCCCATTGAGTCCCAGCTGATCGGCTGGGTCTCCTTTGGTTGCCCAGCCCAGGAGAATGGAGCTGGAAAGCAGGCCAGTGGGGTGGGGAGGGAAGGGGGATTTTGCGGTAACCTTCCCCTGCCACGCCCACCAAGCCACACCCACAGAACCGGTAGTAAAAAAGTTTTTGAATCCCACCGCTGGCTGGAAGGCCTTTGGGCCTCTCTGACCCCACGGCTCCCTCCCTCTCGTCCTCTCCAGATCGGGGCCTCTCTCTTTGCAAGCAACATCGGCAGCGGCCACTTTGTGGGCCTGGCAGGGACCGGGGCGGCTGCAGGAATTGCCATCGGAGGCTTCGAGTGGAACGTAAGTCCTTTCCCCTTCGGCCGGTCGTGGGTGCGAATCTCCACTGGGAATCTCCTTCTGAGCCCATCTCCAGGGAGGAGGGCACGCATGCCCTGGAGGAGGGGGCACAGGTTGGCCAAAGACCACTCAAGCCCCTTGGATGCCCCCCCCCGGAAGAGGACCTTGGGTCTGGGCTGCTTTGGTGGATGGGGGGGGTCTTCCCCTTCCTGCCTGGCCCTGTGGGAGAGGCAGAGCCAACGCCCCCCCCCCCCCCCCCCCCCCTCTCGGCCCTGGTGATCGTGGTGATTCTCGGCTGGGTGTTTGTGCCAATCTACATCAAGGCCGGAGTGAGTAGACGATGCGGCGGTTCTGCCAGCTGCTTCAGGGGGGACAGCGTGCTTGTCCGAGGGGATGCTGGCTTGGACCGGGCACCCTGAGCCGCAGCACAGTCTATCGGCTCACCCCAGAAAGTTTAGATTCAATCCAGATTAGAAGGGAGAAGGAGGTTCTACAAAACGAGAGCGGAGGGAGGAAAACAGCAACTGAGATATTCACGGGGTTTCAGCCCTCCCGCGGGGTCTATCTGGACTCCTAAGCCTCATTAATTAATACCACACTTAAGAATTAAAATGCGATTCAACGTACCACTCTTTTAAGTCTATTAAGCCCATTCTGAACATGTAAAACATTAAAATATTCAAGGTAAAAAAAAACTTTTCGGTTGATGAGATGCTTGATGAGGCTCACAAAGCCAGTGTCCCTCATTGGCTTCAGTTCAGGAATTTCAGTTGAAAACCCTAAAATCTTTATCCACTCTATTGGATGCGTCTTCAGGCAGCTCCACAGTCGGCCTGCTTTAAGCAGAGTTTTGCTAGGTAACGTTGGGTCCTTATGTTCAAGTAAATGTTTCACGTAAATACCATCTGGGGCAGGGAAGGTTTTTTTTTTGTCTTCAGAGTAGAAAGGAAAGTATCTGTGCAGAGGAATGTGGGTGAACCTTTCGGCTCGCCCTGCCTGGGCTGACCTGGATCCGGGGGGAGTCAAGTGAGCGTGGGAGAAGCTCGGCAAAACTGGGCTGCTGGTGAAACACCAACAACTGCCTGCCCCACCTCGCTTTGTTCTTTCTGCCAGCCCAAATCAGTCATTGGGGCCCTTCCTGGGCGGCTGCTCCTCTGTTCCAGGAACAGCTTCTCTGTTCTAGACGAACTTTCCAGGCGCAGGGAGCGGCACTGCCTGCATCCACGGGGCCCAAGCCTGGTGGCAGGCAATTCAGCCTTGCCCGGGGGGTTACGTCTCTTCCGTGAAGCACTCGTCCAGGAGCGCCCAATCTTGACACCTTTAAGGCTTCCGGACTTCAGCTCCCTGGGAAAGAAGGAGGGAATTGCCTTCTCCAGTCCTGATGCTCCCTCGAGGACCCTAGAGGCACCCCCTGGGCCTTCCCCACCTCCTGAGGGTGGAGGGACACCGTGGAGCTACAGGGAGCTCCCTGAAAGTCCCCCATTATGAGGTTCTTCCTTGAACCCGGAGAAGACGCCGCTCCTAAAGTCACCGACATCTTTGGGAAGATCTACAGCTTTGCAGGCTGGGAATTCTGGGAGGTGAAGTGCAGAAGTCTTAAAGTGGCCAAGACTGGACACCCATGGTGGGATTCAGCCAGTTTGCACCACTTCAGCTGAACTGGTTGTTAAATTGTTGGCTGGCCCCTCCCTTCCCCTCCCTGCCCCTGCCCTGTGCCCCGTTTTAGCTCCCAGGTAAGTGCAGGGAGGCCCACCAGGCCAAAACGGGGTATGGGTGTGTGTGGCTCCCCCACACGGCCCATTTTTGCTCCAAGGGGGGGTGCCGGCGGCCAAGTGCTGCCTGCCACACACCCCGGCCATGCCCAGCACAGCCACGCCCACCTAGCCGATCATCAGGGGAGAGAACCAGCTGTTAAACTATTTTAATCCCACCCCTGCTGGACACCCCTGCTCCGATCTCTCCATTGGGCAGACCTGCGTCCAGCTAGAATGCTGCACTCCCTACACAACGCACCTCTGGGAAGAGCTTGGACGGATGGACTCGAGGAACCACGTCTGGCCTCCCACGAGGCCTTCACAGCAGCTGGAACGTGGTTGGGCTCCTCTTATCTAAAAAAGTGCCCGAATAGTTCAGCCAGAGTTTCTGGACTTGGTGAAAAGTGAGGTTTTGGGTTTTCCGTTGGCCGAAAAAGGTTGGTTGAAGGCAGCCATCTGGCCACACTTCCGTCCACCCCACAAACTTTGAGATCTGCTTGGAGACCATCCTAAACTTTGCTTGTTCTGTTACAAGTGGCAATCAAAAAGGAGGGACAGGAGTCACATAAAACTATGGCATTTGATTTGATTTCCTCGGGGAAAGAAGCTGCAGCGTTCAGACAATCAGCCGTGAATGGCTATAAAAACTGAACAACAGCGAAGTAACCGTACCGCCTTGGTTGACTCCTCCCCTGCCTGGACCAGGCCCAGGTGGGGCCCGACAAGAAGGTCTTCCAGACCAGAGGCTTCTTTACCAAAAGAGCATCTCTGGCCCTGTAGTCCTTCCAGGTGATTGTTTACCTGCAAGGATGCTGGCACCGTTTCTCAGCAGGTTGGCCCCAGATCCAGGGTGGCCTGGATCTTTTCTTTTTGTAACTTAAACACATCCCACAGAATCGCTCCTTGGCGCTTCCTCCCCGTCCTCAAGGGACGAAGGCAGGGATGGTTCACTCTGCGCAGAGTGTCCACTCCAAGAAGGAGAAAGGACGGCAGGGGAGAAAGGTGGCGACCATCCCTTTCCTGATTGCGCACTAAATAGCCTTTTTGGTAGAGTTGGGTTTCTGAACCGTGGAAAATTTAAGAGGTGTGGATCTTAAAGTTCCCAAAGGTTGAAAAATGCATTCTTTTTTTGCATCGTGGGCCAAAATTAGCCCCCTCACACCCACCCCCGTTTGTTTTTCAATCCATGCTTCTGCGGTTCTTGGGGTCCTCTGCACCAGATGTTCCCCATTCCCCCATCAGCACCTTTTCCTCCCTCACAGGTGGTCACCATGCCGGAGTATCTGAAGAAACGCTTCGGAGGGAAACGGATTCAGATCTACCTGTCGGTCCTGTCTCTGCTCCTGTACATCTTCACCAAGATCTCGGTGAGTTTAGCAGCTGAAGCGTCTCCAGGCTCATGGAAGAACTTCATGGCGCTCCCCGTAGCTCAGGCCCACGATGTCCCTCCACCCTCAGGGGGAGGGGAAGGGCTTTTGAGGGAGCGTCCAGAGTGGAGGGGCAGTCAACTCCCCTGCCAAGGGGCTGATGGTTGTGCGATGGGCCAAGTGCCTGGAGGAACCCTTCCCGTCATGAGAGCTGGGTATTCCCACATGACAGCCTCTGGGCTGGATGGGTTGCATCCCCTGGGCTTCTGCACAGCACAAGCCGGTCCCAGATACCTCGGCCCCACATCTTCCCCTGGACCTCTGAGGGCCACAGTCCAGAAGGACCACCTGTCCCTCAGCTCCCAAGTAAACGGCTGACGGAACACTTTTCCAAAACTGATGCCTTCCTACAAGCCCTTCTTTTCGGGGGGGGAGGGAGGGGGGGTTGTAAGAAGCCATGTTGGGGGGGGGAACGAGGCCTAGAGCTAATGAGTCCAAGGGAGGCCTCCCTCCCCCTCCCTCCCTCCCTCCCCCTCCCTCTCTTCGGGGCGCTCTGCCTGGCAGATGTCCTGCAATGCTACTCTTTGCCCTGGTAAACAACGGGCAGGAGTTAATTGTGCCCATTAACCCAGGGCCCCTGCCTTCTCTCACTAGCCCACAATAAATGATCTCTATCAGGGTTACTGATTAAACTCTAGTGGGATGGGAAGGGCACCCCACCCCCCCAAGAAGCCAGGGGCCCGATGGGAGGGGGAGAGATGCAGGTAGTTCTGTCTGGAAGGGTGAACAGCTGGATCCGGAGAGAGCAGTGCCGGAGCCCTTTGGCTGCAGGCTGCCTCCTCCAGGGGCCGGGCGGGCCCTCCGCCTCTCGCGGGAGGCTCTGTTGGGGTACAGACTCTGTTAGAGCCCCACCCTCATTCTGCCAGTTCCGAAGGGGAGACCCCGTCCCTTTGCAGGAGAGCTGGGTCAGCCCTACCGCAGCAGGTTGCCTGAGGCCATGAGGGAGGTGCACATGCTGGGAGGATGTGGGGACGCTGCTGTTCCCGTAAGCAGCGCTTTCAAGGAGACACACCTTTCATGCCACACCTGTAATTACGTCTTTGGCAATGGATGAGTAAGATGGAAGGGCAGAGGAAGGCCAGGGCTGAGACCAGCCTCCTAGTGCAGTGGTCACCAACCAGTGGGCCAGGGACCACTGGTGGTCCGTGAGAAAATTTTGGTGGTCCACAGAGAAATGTCACCCCCAAAGCAATTAATCCAGGCTGCATGGGAACGCAAGGCTGCGCCACCCACGTGGCCCGTGGGAACACAAGCCTTGCGTCATTTGCATTGCGAACCACACGAGGTCATGAGGGGAGGTGGGGAAAGGGCAGAGGGGGAGAACTTGCCCCACTTACCTCGCCTGGCCACCGGGCTGCTTCTTTTAGCCTCTTTTTTCTTCTGCTTTTGGCTGCACGCAAGGAAAGCAGCAAAACTCTTTCCTCAAATTCCGCCAGAAAGGAGTGTTTGGGACCCTGCGAGGCCTCCTGCCCCAAGAGGCTGCACTGGCAAAGACTCATTTCTGGTGGAGTTTGGGGGAGAGAAAGAAAGACTTCTGCAGCTCCTGCTGCTTTCCTTGCATGAAGCCAAAAGTCTCTCTCTCTCTCTCTCTCTCTCTTTCTCTCCCCCCGAGAACGGAGCTGGAGACAGTATCCTGCGATCCCAAATAAAGAATGATTGATCAGTAGGAAAACAGGGTGGAGAATTTTCCTGCAGATTTTGTGGGGGGGATTTTCCCAGAAAGTAGCAGAGACCCTGGGAAAACATCAGCAAGCCACCGTCAGTCAAAATTCATATTAGTGATCCGCGGGATTTAAAATGATGAGTTTGGTGGTCACTGAGGTCCAAAAGGTTGGCGACCCCTGTCCTAGTGGGCCCCCATTTGTGGGTGCTCAAGTGCCAGGCCCCACCCCACTGGTTGCATAGAAAAGGGGCACATTTGCAGGAGCAGGCCACAGTCCATGCACAAGGGTGTCCCACTCTCCCTGCACCTCCATTTAATTGTGGCTACTTAAACCAGAAAGACCCTACTAGTGGCTCCTCTTTGAGCAGGGGCTGGACTAGTTGGTCTCTAAGGTTATTGTTGGCCATTAGCCTCTCTGCTTCCAGGGAGCAGAGGCTGGCGGCAGTGGAGATGGCTGATCCAGGGCCAACTGCTGCAGTTCCTCCTGCCCCCCTCCTCCTCCTCCTCTGGGACACCCCTGTAACCAGGCCCACACAAAAGCACCCCCCCACATCCTCGTGCAGCACAGCCCTTGGGGTGTGGTGGATGGAGAGGCCCCTCGGGGCCCATCTGCCGCTCTGCGTGGGGTTTTCCCTGGTGCTCTGGCTTAAGGGGCGAATTCTTCCTTTGCACGACAGGCAGATATATTTTCCGGAGCCATCTTCATCCAAATTGCTATGGGACTAAATATTTATGTGGCCATCATTATACTGCTGACTATCACAGCCCTTTACACCATCACAGGTGAGTCCCGTTTGCAGGTGAGCCTCCCAGTCCTGATGTCAGGCTCAGCCCCACACGCAACCTTTCGGGCCCCTTGGTGCCTGGGAAGCCCGCCCCCCGTCTGCCCCCTGCCCATTTCCCAGCGGAGAAGCCCAGGGGTTTTCTTTGGGGGGGTGGGGGGCTTGGCCCTGGGCTGCCTTCCTCCCCTTATCGCAGCCTTCTGCTCCCCTCGCTCTGCCTGGCAGGAGGACTGGCCGCCGTGATCTACACCGACACGCTCCAGACCTTCATCATGTTGGTGGGATCCGTCATCCTGACCGTCTTCGGTAAGCCCGAGTTCAAAACCGGCCCCGAGAGTGCCTTGCCCCCAGGCCCACCGCGGCTGGTGTGAAGGGGAGGCCTCCCCCAGAAGGCCCTGAGAGGCTTTGGCTGGGCGCCTGGGAGTTTATTTATTTATTTATTTTATTTTATTTGTCAATCCCTTACAAGGTAATAGATATAAGTATAAACATGAGTAAGAATACAGGAAATAGGTACGAATAAATGGGGAAAATAGGACAGAGTTGCTTTCAAGAAGGCGGGACAGAGCCCAGGTCCACCTAGACCAGAGGTGCTTAACTCACAGAATCATAGAGTTTAAAAAATAAGACCTTGGTGGTCATCTAGCCCAACCCCTTGCTCTGTGTAGGATCTGCTAAAGCTTTTGAGGCAGATGGTGGTACCCCCTTGGTCTGAAGACCCCCAATCTCCACTTCTCAAGGCTGGTTAATAGCTCCTCCCTGTAGGAAATTTCTCCTCAGATCCGGCCTGTGTTTGAAACATGCCCACCCGTTCGCTATGTGGCAACCCCTGGAGGAAGGGGCCAGGGATTTAGGCAGGTTCCAATGGGCTGGTTCTGATCCAGTTGAATTTTCAACATATACATGAGAAATCATCCGGCAGCGCTGGGCACGTGAGCATCCGTGTGGATGCACGTTTATTGGACGTAGGTTAGAATAGAACAGGACAGAGCTGGAAGGAACCTTGGAGGTCTTCTAGTCCAGCCCCCTGCTCAAGCAGGAGACCCTATACCAGTGGTGGCTAACCTTTTGGGGCTCCTGTGCAAAAAATTGTGCATGCACACTCGCATGCGAGCACCCAGAAGGCAATACACGCGGGCCCCCTGTGCATGCGCACGTGATCCCTCCCCCACGTGCCCTTACCTGCACTGCACCTCCCAGCTGTTTTTTGGCCTGATTGAGGCCTTTTTCAGCCTGCCAGAGGCTTGAGGGAAGCCTCTGAAGCCTTTGCAGGCCGAAAAATGGGCCCATTTCATCACTTCCAGTATTTCTTGAAATATTGGAAGTGACGAAACCGACCTATTTTTCGGCCTGCAAAGGCTGCAGAGGCTTCCCGCAAGACTCTGGCAGGCCGAAAAAGGCCTGAAAATCAGCCGGGAGGCACGCGCATGCGCAGTGAGGTAAGTTTGCCTGGGGCTTGCGTGCCTGCACAAATGGCTCTGTGGCATGCGTGCCGTAGGTTCGCCATCACACCCCTAGACCATTTCGGATGAGTGACTGTCCAGTCTCTTCTTGAACACCTCCAGTGATGAAGCGCCCACGATTTCTGAAGGCCAGCTCTTCCACTGTCTAATTGTTTTCATTATTAGGAAGTTTCTCCTTAATTCCATGTTGCTTCTCTCCTTGATCAGTTTCCAACCATTGCTTCTTCTCCTGCCCTCTGGTGCTTTGGAGAATAGGATGACACACACACACACACACACACACACACACACACACACACACACACA